AATACCAAACCATACTTTTGAAAAAAAACATATAGTTCAACATTGGCACTTCCTCTTTCTCAAAAACAAATGTCAAACAAAGCATACCTTTTAACTGGAAATTTCAAAACCAGAACTAGCCCTGAGGAATGCCAAGAGAATCCGACCTTTAAGCGAGGAAAATAAGAGACAATTATGTCTTAATGTTAGCTGGACTCGTTTACTTTACATCTAGACTACCTTGATGAGGGCGTAGGCTTTTGTTGGTTGGAAAATACGGAAAGAATTTGCAGCAAGCATGTTGGGTGATATGTTCGTCTGATTTAACTTAATGTTTAATTTTTTTAACTTAATGTAAGGTAAATAAGGTAAATAACTTAAATGAATAAAAAAATCTAATGGTACCATACTTTTCATATTCATCACGAGATACATTCATAGCAATTTAATGTAGTTTAATCTCCGCCAGTTTATTTCTTGTACTATGAAGCTCATTTCAATTATTTTTTTTAAATTATAATTTCATATTAAGGCTACATTACATTCTGAGTTTTGGAATCATGAAATTATAACTTACGAATATTAAAATTTACGGTAGATGATTTAATACTCAAGGGGCAGCAATGCACTCTCCATTCTTGAGTTGCAGGTGTGCATGAGCCACGTAGGCACTTACCATCAGATGGCCCGCCTTCTCGTTTACCCCCTTTATCATAAGTAAATAATAATTATAAACAAGATCTACTTGATGCGGTAAATTTCTTATATTTTTCTAAATCATTTTACGTTCTGGACTTGTACATTACATTATTACCGAATGTCACAACAGTGATAGCAGATGTCTTTTGCCGAGAATTGCAAAGAATGATAAAAAAGCTCGCAACCACGACTTGTCAATCGCTCTTCCCCATTGCTTCTATACGACACGAGCACAGGAGCTCACACTTCACGACAGACCATCGCAAAGCTACAAGAGTTACGGCTGGCAGCTCTTCGTCACCCACCGTACTCACCAGACCTTGCTCACACAGAATTCTACTTTGTTCAAAATTGGCATTTTTTAAAGTGGGAAATGATTCAACATCCGAGAGGCAGTACAAAACTTTTTGCTGACTTCATCACCTTCGGTCCAGCAGACTTTTATAGTAAAGGAATAAGTAATCTGCCACCAAAATGGCAAAATTTTATAGATAATTTGGGCCAGTACTTTGGCCCAAAATTATTATGTTTTAAAATTTTCATACAAATCTTCAACTTCATAGGCAAGGAGCTAATATTAGAATTACTGGGTTTTGGCTTGCAAGCTTCGCTAGTGCTTACTCGTATGTCGATTTTGCAAACAGTTTTCATTTATAAAAAAGCTTATGTGCTATTCCAAAGGCCATTCATCACAATTAGTTCAGACGATCTGGCGTGATGAGTGACAAATACCTATCAATTTTTTTGCATTTGTACTAAGATATGTAATACAACTTCCATTTTGACTGAATATTTTCCGTTTCCCTTAAAATATCCGCTATGCTCGACCAACTATCATCCCGTATGTGCACCAGTATCATTTGGACGAAATAATTTATGAATGTAGATCACCTTGGGGACTCAGCAGATTGAATAAAACAAGATCTAATTACAAATAAAATAATTTGCATGTATGTCAGCGTACCTATATGTTTGCACTTCCTTTACACAAACGAAGCAAGCTAACGGGATGCGGCAATACTTTGTTAGTAAATCAAAATGATTCAATTGTACAATTTACCGCAGCCTATAAATGCTGGCAACACCGCCCGTAACGGTGTCTTTTACGTTTTGTTATGGTAGTTCGGCAGAAGTTTGAACACGCGTCAATTTTATATGCATCTAAACACCTAAATGCAGATAAATTAGGCCATAAGTTTCCGCCCCTAGGGGTCTAGGGGAAATGAAGAATATACAATTTATTTTAATTCATCGTTATGTAGATGCAATTAAGTCGGTGACATTTTTGAAAAAATTAAATTATTTAATTAGGGGGAAAGCCATGACACTAGTTTTTTTTGGCGCGCTTTTAGTTTTGACAGTATATCTATATTAATCAATGATGCAAGGCTTAAAATGATATTAAAGCTTCGATATAAATATTGTCACTAGCAACTGTCAATTGTAGACATTCCTAAATCAAACGCTGTTATAAAATTACAATACAAATTATTATTTACATGTTGCTGTAATGTGCGGAAATAGGCAAAATACAGACTAACTTTTCACCGAGTTAATATACGAGATATACAATACAAAATATACGAGTAAATATGTTGATATGCCAACTTTTATAATCATCAACAGCCTTTAACAGTTCACTGCTGGACATAGGCCTCTCCTTAGAAAAGTGGTTTAAGTTATGTCAACTTTAGGTCGAGTTATTTTACCATTTCATGTGTATGAAATTAATTTAGCATTCATTTATCTTACATTATCACGTTTTTAACCGACCTCAAAAAAATAAGAGGATCTCAATCCGGTTGTATTTTTATATATTTAAACTACATCAGAACTCCGTCGTTCTTTTTTATTTTAAAGACAAACATACATGAAACGCATACAGAGAACACCTAGACCCAGAACAACTATTTGTCATCCGTACACTCTTTTTTTATTTGGGAGAATATACTTCCACTTCGAAAAACAATGCTACCGCCAAGATTGGTAAATTTCGTAATGTAGAATATAGTTTACTTTTAAAAAGTCGCATCTCAGTAATAAATCAGACCTTTTAAGAAAACCCTAACTGCCGCTTTGTCACTGCTACATGCATACGCACTAAAGTGGGTTGACTGGTTCGTAACAATACAAGGTTGTCCACCACGCCTATAACACCTACCTGACTAGTCTATCGATAAACACCACTTATTACAGAAAAGATGTGGAAATCCTGCGGGTTTACTCGTGAATATAGAAAATTATTTTCTTTTATATTAGCAAATTAATAATTTACGTTGTATTTTATACAAAACTACTTGTAAAATTTACAGTATTTTTTTGTAAAATATACAGTGATATTTAGTACAATATACAGTGATATTTAGTAAACAAACCAGTGACGGTTTGTAAAATGTAGAGGCATCTCTTTTTTATTTAAGTAATGAAGTTGGCAGTAAAACACACGGTCTGCTATATAAAGTTATTAGTATAGACAAACATATGATTTTATTATATAAGTCTGTAGTTGTACTATTATTTACCATATTGCAATAATGTGGTGTCATTGATTTTATTTTTTATGTTGCTTGATAATGTAACAAAATAAATTAAAATACACAAAGTTACCTGATCCCAAAGTAGGTGGCCCTGTACTATGGTAACCAGAATACTGATATATATGATCTAATAATATCTCAAATAAAAAATTTAAATTGTTTTATGAATGACGTAGTTCTAAAGTAACAATCATAAAAACAATTACAACCGATTACAACATTTTGTTTTTTTTAAGACAGTTAAAGGACGTCTCAACCACTTAGCGTTTATTTATTTATTTCGGTAAATGAATCTATTTAGATATTTTTACAAGCCGGACTTTACAGCCAGATAGAGCCGGCCGAAACAAACCACACAGATGTTTTTTTTCTTTTGTCCGTTAACAAAATTAAAGAATACCGTGCGAGTACAGTACAGGGTCTGGGTAGGTCTTTTGAAGAAAGGACCATAGTTTTGAGTCGGCATATCCATACAGACGACATGGAGGCCCCAGCCATCGTGTAGCCTAACCGATATTAGTCAAGATCAACGACCCGTATATAATATATCTACACTGTTCTACACCCTCCATAACGGGTCTGCCTATACTGATGCCTTGTAATTTCACGTAACTATTGTTTCAAATGAATGAATATTACGTCATTTAGTTTCACAACACCAGTGCTTCTAATGCACCCGATCTAAGGTATGTTGGCGACTTTAAATGCACGATACGAAAAGTAAATTACTTAAAATTTTCTTATTATTATTTTTTACTCACATCAAAACCACCTATGAATTCGTCTAGAAAGAAAGAAAGCCCATCAAAGTGTAATATTCAACATAAGAGAGATATAATGCTAGAGATTTGCCAGATGAGCCAGAGATTCTCACCCAGGATAAGTAAACATGTGATGACCACCATCATTTGTTGTGTCTGGGTATAATTTGTATATAATATGTATGTATTTAGAAATATATTTGTATGTTTATCAGTATTCTATTGGTCTAGTGGTTAGTGACCCTGACTGCTAAACCAGAGGTCGTGGGTTCGATTCCCACCCAGGACAAATATTGTGTGATGAGCACGGTCATTTGTCCTGCGTCTGGGTGTAATTTATCTGTAATATGTATCTATTTAAAAATATATAAGTATGTTTATCCGCAGTCTGGTTACCATAGTACAGGCTCTGCCTAGTTTGGAATCAGACGGCCGTGTGTGAAATGTGTGAGATATATTCTAGTTACCATAGTACAGGCCCTGCTTAGTTTGGGACCTGACGGCAGTACGTGAGACTCAACAAAATATTATTTTATTATTTAAGAGATATAATAAAATGTTAAATAATTATTTTTGGAGAATATAGAAACTTAACTAATTTATTTTTCCACTTACCTGGAAAATCCACTGACTCCTGGTGACACCAGTCCCGTTCAGAATTCAATCGTAACAAAAATTCCGTAAAAATATAAATAATATCAGCGTCAATAACGGTGGACGCGATAACGTAATAATAAACTGACACTTAATAATAAAATTTATCCTGATTTTAAATTGAATTATCGTTGACAACTTTTTTCTTTGTTATAAGTAAAATATATCACCCATTCTCAAGTACAATAACATACGTGACTACTAAGTAAGAACAAGTTAAGAGCACATTCCAGCTAGCTATGAAAAACCCCGAAGTTATCTATCAAATAAATGTCAAAAAATGCTGCCCCATTAATCATCATCTATAAAAATTGTCCTGAACTTCAATAAAACACATCAGTCAAGGCACAGATACCTTGTTATAGCTCAATCACTTACCTTTAGCTTCCAGATGTCCCTTGAGCTGGTCAGCCTTAGCCTGCAGTTTCGTCTGCATCGTCTCCGCGCCTTCCTTCATCTTCGCCAGTATACCTACCACATAAATTATTTTTAATGGCATACACTAATACTTAGGGATTTACGACAATAATTTCACAAATATGTACTAAAAATAATTCTAAGGAATGTCGGTCATAAACGTTTCAGTACCGGTTTTTTATGACGTTATTTCTTTTTTTTTTCAAATCAAATCAAACCAAATTTATTTTTGCAGAAAACACTGTTACAATGGTTTTATAAATACGTAGTTATGTTTCAAGTGATTCTACCTTAAGGCATGCAAAATATATACAATTATTACTTACTAAAATTAAGATCGACATCGAAGTATTTAAATCAAATTAGATTACAGCATTTAAGTATTAAAAATGAATGTAATGTCCTTATTAAAATTATAATGATAAATATTAGTTATTTATTTAATAATAATTAGATTAGTTCTATGTCACTCACTGAATTATTATGTATTAACAAATTAATAAAAATAATATCAGCGTTTCGTTATGACAATATACAATGGATGGGTTTATTTATTTCGCGTATCTGTACTTTCGTTTCAGCAGGAATTTTTTCTATAAAATATTATTATTATAGGTCTTATATAAGGTTTTAAGTACATAATAAAAAAAGTTATGAAAATCTGTCAGTATCCCTAATTTGCACATCTCTTTGCTTCCACAAATCTCCTATAATTTTTAGGGTTCCGTAGACAAAATGACAAAAACGGCACTCTAATAGTTTCCACAGTCTCACCGTCACCGTCTCATAGACTCTCCTATCATATATGTAAGTAATAAAGTTTATATCTATTAATAAAAAAAGAACAAACTTTTTACGCAAATTCAAGGAAAAAAAATTACCAGACAAAGGACCACGTACACTTTTTAAATTTCTACAACCTTTTTTTGTTTTCAATATGTAATTATCAGTGTTAATTGTAAATATTTTTATAGGTTACGATAACCGCTTTCCGTACGCAACTACATATTATCACTAATACCAACCATGCTTGTCTTTTTCCTTTAGTATCCTTTCCATATCGCCAGCTTTATCTTTGACACGTCCAAAGAAATCTATCCGTTTAGTATGCGTGAGCAACAAAGACATACATATCATTAATGTTGTTTTTTATTAAAGTATTAAATATACGTTGGTTATTGATTATTTTAAAAGAAAACAGAATCGTTTCTGAAAGATAGAAGATGTATCCGCAAGGATGATAATCATATGAAAGGATAATATATGTAAACACATACCTATTACAACAACATGTAAGTAAAAAAATGCTTGAAAAGGCCTGCTTTCTGCACAAGTAAATGCATGCTCAAAGACGTTTGTACATGAGAAAACGTTTGAACCAGGTGATATCGTACCACAATTTATGCAAATAAATCAGGTCCAAGAGGTTACAATCTCATACGAAAGCTTAGAAACTGATCGGTCAGAGGGCGGGGCTTGATTCATACGTCACTATTTTCTTAACGCGAATGGTTTATAGTGTTGATTTCATACATCATCATAGTTCATAGTTTATAGTGGCGAAAAAAGTAAGGGTGTCATATTGCAAATTGCTACGCTCGCAGTTGCGCAACGTTGTAGAACAAAGATAGCGTTAAACTAACAACAAGTTTGTAACTCACACTACCTGAGATTCTTTTGGTGGCGTCAGGGCTGGCAGACTGAGTCAGTGCTGCAACTTTCATGTACTCGCTGGTGATAAGTCCGGCAGCCTGACAAACAAACAAATTCGTTAGCTTAGAAATAAAAGGGGTCGAGCAACCCTCGGCATCACATCAACAGCCTTTAATAGTCCACTGCTGGACATAAGCCTGTCTTTAGAAAGGAGATATAGGCCGAACACGCTCGCCAGACGGATTGGTATAGAGTTTGTTTCAAGTTTGCCTTCTCTTTCCAGTGTTGTTCTGAGCAGTTTTCTCCTTTAGTCGATTCCCAAATAAATTTAGGAACAGCTCAAGAAGATGATGTTGTTAGTTTTCTATAACAACCTGTAGAATTGAAGAGTGACTCACCTCTAAGCTAGCAGGACTCATAGCAGAATACTCTTCGCTGAGGAGCTCGACGATAAGGCCCTCGATGTCGAAGAACAAAATGTGACTCTCTGGATCTAGGGAAGTAGAAACGTGAAGTGTGAATCGAATAGGCATTAAAATCCGTATACCATCGCGGATTTTTTTGTAGATATTTTTAAGATACACAGTTCCCTAGTACATTATTTTGATCTATCTCGTTAGGTTTACCCAGCGTTTAACATGTAAGCGCACAAAAACGAACTTTTTACGACTTAATATTACAAATCTTTGAAATACTCGGATTTACTGTACTATAATATGCATGTATTACACATATAAACCTGCCTCTTGAATCACTCTCTCTCCATTGGTGAAAACCGCATTAAAATTCGTTGCGTAGTTTAAAAGCTTTAGGCGTACAAGAAAAATAAGTGACTTCATTTTATACTATGTAAAGATTTAAAATGGCGATATGTGTACATGTTCTTGCCACTGACTAATATTTTTTTTCCACTCAATGACTTCAGAACCTTAGTCAAAGTCGGGAGTAAATCATTCCTCAAAGGAAAAGAAGTTCTCGTGACAGTCAATAGCGCGCAATATAACTAGTAACAAGAATCGCTATTCATTTGACCCTTAGAGCATATTTCTACCCTTTTAAGTTTAAGGTAATGTTGAGCATATATGTATCTACCTACCAGCAGGATTAGACCTGAAGCCTTGAACAGTGAGCTGAGCGCGTCTAGCTCTGGCTGGCTCTGCCAAAGGTCCAGCATTTCCAGCAGGGCCGCTGTGCTGTAGAGCTGCCAGTCCTCGCTGAGTAGCCGCTCTCATAGCTGTCAGGTTGCGATGACGGAGACCTCTGTGGAGAAGAAAAAATAAAAACCTTCCAAGTTCCTTCCTTAAAAGTTCCAAGGCAAAGTCAAGTTATAAAATAAACATTATTCAAAAATACCTAATAAATCAATATTTGGGATTCCAGCAACCTAACTCACTCGGTAAAAAGCAGGGAATAATTAATTTGTTTAGCACTCGCCACTTCTATTTTTAGTTGTCTTTGATTATAATTAATTATTATTATTAAGGTTGATAGTACTAACCTGAAGAAATGAACCGCTGGATTGGCAAGGCCATCGCTGGAGCCGCCAGACAGTGACCCGCCAAGGTCATCAGCTATAGCTTCGTCACAGGCAGCCAGCACCTCTTCGGCAATCATACCTGGGGCAATTGAAAATGTTCAATTGAAGAGTATTATATTTTGATTTGAAACATCGAATGCGGAGCCTCAGACCGGCTGTTGGCGTGGTGACACGTCGCCACGGCATGCGTCGCCACGTGTGTATCTACACGCCGAGGCGTAGTTTTAATTGGCCTCGCTTCTTTGGTCACAGAGTATCATCTTAACTTTTTTTATTCGATCTGAGCCTGTGGTATCAGCTACCAGAGCGACCCGCCCTGACACCAAAAGCAGGACCCGCACAGATATACTAAATAAAATATCTCTAAATTCCACATCAAATTAACCAACCAATTTTGAAGTTCTGTTAAGAATTTTTATTTGTAACATTAATTGATAATTTAAGACAAGAACGACAAAATTTTTGTGAACCCTTATTCAAAGGGTGTTTGAATCCAAAGGCCTTAAGATTTCTAGTATTTAGGATAACAAAAAGATCATTTAGTATCTTAATAAATTCTACTGTGCATTCTGATTCTCTAAATGCGGGAATATTTAAGGTTTTATTACAAAAGTCTTAAAGTCACTAGCAAATCTACAAACAAAAATAACATTACAAAATAACCACACTACTCCATGCATTCCCTGTTCAAGAACAGTCGATGTTTGATACAATAATTGATGTGTTGTAGCAAACATTGGCTAAACAATTATAACATTCGCTAATTGAATTATATTTACAGTTTAATTCTGTTTATACTTATTATATTATGAAAAAACACTTATTGATATTAACTTACCGAAAAAAAGATATTCCTTCCAAAACCTTGGTGTTACGGTGGTTATTTACACAGTTTTTGAACGCGCACTGCGGCATTTTGACGTCCTATTGTTGGCTATGATTGGACCATACTAATTTGAAATCAGAGCACAAACACTTTTGTGCTCTTATTTTTCGGGCCGTTTTTGAAGCGCTTATCGGGAATCTAGTACTATTATTGATCAAAGCTAAAAGTACTCTCTTACCATGAAGAACTCTATCCAAATGTCCAGTCTCCATCTGCCACACGAAGACAGTACCATCACTGCAGCCCACCACCATGAAGTCATCAGCCGGCCTCCACTTAATACTGACTACAGGGAACAGGTGCCGGGACGCCAGGGTCACGCATTTACGTTCAGTCAGACCTGATGAGGAGAAGTTATGTTTTAAAGACAAATATTATATATAGTGTTTGTGCGATCTACAAATATTTGTTTCAGAGTTTGGGTGTTTTCTACTTATAATATGTATGTATTTACAAAAAAGAAAGTATATAAGTATTCTATCAGTCACTCTAGCTTTCATAGTACAAGCTCTGCTTAGTTTGAAACTAGATGGCGTTGTGTGTCAGATGTCTGAAAACATTATTATTATTATTATTTAACTAGGTTTTCGAGTCGAATGGGTGTAACCAGATTTAAATGGCAAGTCAACCCTCACATGAACCCATAGAACCGTTTTTATTAAGTTGATTATAAAATTACAGGCAAGATATCGCTTATTTTTTTTTTTTAATGGTACGGGGAACTACTGATCAGACGGGTCACCTGATGGTTAAGTGACTACCGTCGTCTGCAACTTAAGAGTCACAAGTGCGTTTAATTTTATTTTAAACTAGCTGGTACCCGCGACTTCGTTCGCTTTGAATTTGGAAAGCGCTGCATTAGTGGGTTCGATTACGGGACTGGACAAAATTTTAAAGGGTTCTTCTGAGAGGAAAAACAGCCTAAGTTACTCCTTATATAGGAAGGAAACTTTCCATTAAAAACTTACGACCGTTCAAAAATTATGCAATGTTTTTGAAATTTTCTCATTAATGGATTGAATAATTATAAAATAAAAGAATTACTTACTTCAATTTAAATTTTTTAAATCTTACCTGTTTCTATGACAAATAAGCAATATTTTCTGAAAATTAAAAAGGTCATAACTTTTAAACGGATAGTGTTTTTATTCTTTTTAAAATTGAATGCCAGAGACATCTCATGTCAGATCATGGACTTCCTGTATATTTCTACGTAGCTTTACAGTCAAATATATTAGAATACGCCACTGATTTTAGAAGAGAATTATATAAATGAACTTACTTAACAGGGTCACGCTATGATCCGAAGCTACGGAACATATGCATTTCTGGATACGTGGCTGCAAAAATACAATCGAATTGAGAACCTTTTATTTTTTGAAGTCGGTTAATAATGATTATAGTGACTGGTGGACTATCATCATCATCATCATCAACAGCCTTTAATAGTCCACTGCTGGACATAGGCCTCTCCTTAGAAAGGAGGTTTTGGCCTACTACACCACGCTGACCAGACGGGTTGGTATAGGGTTGGTGTCAAGTTTTCCTTCTCTCTGCAGTGCTGTTGTCCTGCGTATTTTGCTCCCTTAGTCGCCTCTTACGACAAACACGTGATGAATAGGGGTGGTGACACACTGTATTCTTAATCCGTCACCACACGGACGTGTGGTGGACTATATGAATGATGAATTCAAAAGGTAGAAAGGAAGAGACCCAGAGGCAGGAGTCCGAGAAAGTAGAGTATTTATAATTGTTGACAGGATGAAAGAGAATCACGATCCTCAACAGTGAGGGAACGATTAGGAGAAAGAGAAAAGGAAATAAATCTATTGACAACTAGCTGTGCCCTGCCAAGTTTCGCTGTGGCACATTGTGATTGCATTAATGTAACTGAGGAACAAAGCTAACGTGAAAAATAGATAAAAGAATTTTTTTAGCCTCTCTATACACTATACATTATAGAGGCCTGTATACACTATACATTTATTTAAAGAGTCACGCCTGTATACCCGAAGAGGTACTTGGCACACACCTCTGGTCCCACTCATGTTATAGGAAGCCTATTGCCGATTTTAGTGCGGGCCAATTAAATTACGCCGAACGCAGTCACCATGACGAATAAACTCACAACAGGCGCTCTCGTCACACACTGAATTAAAGACGGGAAAACTAGGATTATATTTAAAGGGAAAGGTTGCCATAGAAAGATGAATTTAGGAATGTATGAAGTAACTCGTAGAAGTCAAGGTTGAACCTTTAACTCGAACTGGGCCTCAATTCTGCTATTTTATGTTAACGTCAAGCCACTGTATTCCATTGACGCGCTATTGCGATGCCATTGAGACACCACTGACATCGGACAAAATATCAGTATTCTACTAACATCAATTCAGTGTCAATAGACTGTCGATATATTAATATCGGTCATCAATGGTGATATCAACAACATTGCCGTACCTGGAAAATTAAATATATCATTTTCTAACGAATTTAAAATGTACCGTTTACCATACTATTACAAAAACATCGACGACATTTGTCAGTGACAAGTCATCGGCAAGCCATTGGTCTTACATAGTTAGTAGAATATAAAAAGTGCAAAACTATTCCGAGGACATTCCATCGACAGTCTATTGATACAATATTAAAATAGCAGAATTGAGGCCCTGTATACCGGGTAGTTCTAGCCTTAATACTTACGCTGCAATTATGCGGTGGCACTATCAGCTGCGTGATCTCACCAGCGTGTACACAGAACCTGTGCAGTAAAGTGCCACTGAACAGATCCCAGAGGCACACCGCGAAGTCGATACCGCCTGACACTATGTGGGCTTTGTCATATCTGTTGGACAAAATAAATATATTACTTTAAAATAAGTACTTAATCTCGTAAGAATCTTAAATCGCCTAATCAGAGATCTCATCTTGAGGGAACAAGAGCCCCAATATTGCAATATAGGCAACGAGAGAGATGGATAATAGTCAGTTCCCTCTATCTCTTTCTAGTCGAGTTCTGTGATTGGCTGGGAAATATGAGGGGTTAATAAGTAGCCAATCGCAGCTTAGCTAAACAGAGACAGAGGGAAATATCGGGCATCCATCTCTCTCGTTGCCTGTATCGCTTCCACTTACAGGCAGCTCTATCCCGTGTTCTCTCTATGGTTATATCTGTGTGCGTCTAATAGTCCTAAATATATCAAATTAGAAATTAGCTTTTGAATATTGGGTCACAAGACGGACTCACAGGAAAAACGAGCATTAACTCTCCTTCCACGAGATTGAGAGCGCGGGGGGGGGGGGGCGAGGAAGAGCGTCAACGCTCTTATGAATCTTGAGCTACAGAGCTGCTGTTCATAGGAGGTGATAGGCACTTTTTACTAGAAGTATTCAAATTATTTATTTTTAAATTTTAAAATAATAAAACTAACTTTATTTTTAAGTTAGTTGTGTATATAATCAGGAGAGCGGAGTTTAAAAAAAAAAACTTGTTTACCTTTGGTGAATATGATGTGGATAAATGAGGCAGTTGACGCGTCCAATATGTCCAAGTAAAAGCTGGTGGCGAGGCCAGTCTGAAAAAAATAATTCATCATCAATTTTTCGTTCATAATCCACAGATTTAACTTTTAGAGGAGTAATAATAATGGAAAAAATTACTGGAGCGGACGGATGCTGTGCCATAGCAATGAAAAGAGAAGAAAAACTTTGAACAAATACCATACCAACCCATCTGGCCAGCGTGCTATAGTAGGCCAAAAACTCCTTTACAAGGAGAGGCCTATGTCCAGCCAGTGGACTACTAAAGGCTGTTGATGATGATAATAATAGTATTTACCAATTTACTAACATAATAACTGGGTTAACTAAAACTCACCCTCTAATTGCTGATGATTGCCGTGCAGCAATTGCAGTTGCACCGTGTGTGTTGCGTTCACAATCACTATGGATCCATCTTCACGGCCAACGACTAAACGGTTGGCGGCCAGCAGGTAGATGGATGCCGTCAGTTTTATTTCTAGAAATAATTGTATTTTTTTTTAGAACAGTTTACTCTATTCACATCGATGACGTGTGTGGTGACGGATTAAGAATACAGAGTGTCACCACCCCTATTCATCCCGTGGGTGTCGTAGGAGGCGACTAAGGGAACAAACTACGCAGGACAACAGCACTGCAGAGAGAAGGAAAACTTGACACAAACCCTATACCAACCCGTCTGGCCAGCGTGGTATAGTAGGCCAAAACCTCCTTTCTAAGGAGAGGCTTATGTCCAGCAGTGGACTATTAAAGGCTGTTGATGACATCGATGGAAGTCTGTCGATCAGTATTACTAACCGGTCGGAAGAATTTTAATATTTACTTCTCTGTTTTTTTAATTGATTATTGGCATTTGTCTACACAGTTGTATAGCCAGCAATAAATGCACACCGTGTACTTGCAAAATGCAGAGATATAATAAACTACAACATTCATAAGGTTAAAAATTTACAATTTTGTCCTTTCAAAAGTAATAATTTCCGTATTCATCAAATATATTATTTATTTATAAATAAATGTAAAATTGGCAATACGCGAACTTTAACTTTGTGTTTAAATGGCGTCTCTAACCACAGTACAGACATACTGGTACACGATCCATTTTTTTCCATGCGGAAATCCCCTCGGATATCCCCTACGAGACATCCGGTGGCATGGTTATGTAGGACTCGAACCGACTGAAAACCATGTACTCGAGCATGTAAATCACTGGTACGATCCGGCCTATTAGGGCTACTATAGTCATTTGGCGACTTCCACATAGAATGAAACGAAGAAACATACTTCAGCGCCATCTATCGAAGACATACCGAACTACGAAGTAACTGCTAATCCTATATCGCGGTATAAAGAATTCTCTGATTAGTATATATACAACCGCCCAACATCAACCATTCGTTACTCCAATGGTCCTCCTGTTTTATACCATCAGAAAAAGATTACATTCCTAAGGAGTATTGGTGTCAGGCAGGCAGCCCTTAAAAGAAACCAACCATAACTAATAATTTAAGAAGCTGAATTTAGTAAATATAAACTCTAGTGAATTAACTTACCTGGTTCATCAGGTAAATGCAACTGGTCTAAAATACCGACGGGGCTAGGGTTCATTTCCGCCCAGGCCATGTCCAAACTGGTCATAACAATTGGTGCATGAGCTGAAAGAAAATTGAGTAAGTACAATTTAAATTTTATTTAACTAATATAAAGACAATATAAAATGACTGCCTAAATGGGTAATCTATAACTAATAGCATTTATCCTAGCGTATAATATAACATTCCCTTTGATATGTATTTACTCGTAATACGCATTTTCTTTGATATGTCTCAAGCTTTCGATTTTGGTTCTCATAAGCTACTCCTGCAAAAAGTACAAGATTATGGAATTCGAGGACCAGCATTTAACTGGCTAGAATCTTATTTACTTAATGGCAGAACTATTTAGAAATAATAGTCAACGTTAACTGAAGACATCTTAGACCATCAAATAAAGTTAATAGCTGCGAAGTACCGCAAGGAAGCATGCTAGGACCTTAACTATTTTTAATCGATGACTGCCTTGGAGGTGCAGTGGTAGCACATGCGACGATGTGCTGAGGTCTCGGGTTCGATTCCCGGGTCGGACCAAATGTTTGCATGATCTGCAAATATTTGTTTCGGAGTTTGGATGTTTTCTATGTACATTATGAATATATTTACGAAAAAAAAGTATATGAGTATTCTAACAGCCAATCTAGCTTTTATAGTACAAGCTCTGCTTTGTTTAAAACTACATGGCGTTGTGTTTAAAATGTCCAAAAATATTATAATTATCATTAATTTACATGTGAAGCATTCGCATCCGTTCGTTTTCCATTTCATGGATTTTTTTTTAATTTTATTGTACTATTATAAATTTGTAATGGGACATACTAACATGGCATTTGATTAGGGGTTGGGACGGCAGCCGAGTCCACGTTCCAAAGGGACACCACTCCAGCGGAGTCACCGCGGAGCAACAAACGTCGCTGCTTACCCCCCACAGACGTGATGATAAAGCGCATTGCAGGAGGGCAGGACAAAAGCTGTGAAAGAATTATTAATGTATAGAAAAAAATGGCGATTGAAAAAGTGCGATTAAGTGCGATATTATACCAATTTCATTTAACTAAAATAACAGGGTTGTTAAAAACAAAAAAAATATATGAAAAGGCCAATTTGTCTCATAAACTAATTTTTAAAAAACATTGTTTGTGGCTACTCATGATATACTAAAATATAACAAAGGTAACACTACTATCAAATAGTCAAAATACCTCAAATCAAAATTTCTAAATAGTTATGAAATGGAACTTTCCTAGTGCCTAGGAATGTCCATTTCATTTCTGTGCACATTATTTAAAAATTTAGTCTTACCTTATTATCCGGATGAGCCAGGATCCCAAAAAGTACTGGACTGTCGTGGTCGACTGTAGGACCATGGAACCCCTTGTGGTCCGGCACAGAACTAAAACCCAACAGACCATTCATTCAAAACATAATTTATTGTCTCTTATGGGGACACGAACGTTACTAATACCATAAATTTATACATAAGGATTTATTACAAAGTATGACGATTCTAAAACATAGTTAGGTTATTCTATAACTATTATCTATTCAGAATACTAATGTACAATAAGAATTTACCAAATCAAAACTATTGATGTCTCAGTTTTTACAGACCTACTAAGAAGATACAAGAGGGATCGAAGGACCATGTCCAGGAGTATACAGAAGGACCATGTACAGGAGTATGCAGATACTAGATATAGGGACAGCAATGTACAAAATCCAAGATGGGATAACAGCATTTTGCACAGACAATTTACAGAAGAAGAGACTTCGAGAAACTAACTAATGTGGGACTTATTATTCATAGGATGAGAAGTTCTGTCTATATCTATATCTTACAATGCCTTGTCTGTCCTAATACGATAAAAGCTTCTTAAAACTGTAAATTTTGAGTTTCATAAATGGACGTTACATTTTAAATTGAAAAACTACATAGCGTTAAAAAAATATTTACAATGGTAGTTGATAACGGAATCTCCTCAGCCTGCTCATTCTGTCTACCCCCAATGATAACAATAGCGATTTGCGATAGATAGCAACCCGAACAATGCTTACAAAACATTTTAACAAACAATTTAATGAATTACGAGTAAGTGTTAATCAGGCACAACACGACAGTGCTACTTATATTTTCCTTTAAGTCTTAAAAGCTGTCTTAGAGTTTTAGAAGCTAGCATGTTTTACCTTTCATAAAAGAATTAGAAAAAAATTGTAAACTACTTTAAATTAATGCCTGTTTCATAAAACCAAATAGATAACCGCTTAAGTATCCTAAATTTCATACTAAATTTTACTAAAATGCTCGTAGTTCTATTCTGAAAGAGAGATTATTTTATATTTTATGGATACTAAAAAATATTTTCAAAATATCTGACGAAACTAATTAGAATATTGCCACAATGGTTTTGATACTTAGTACCACTCGGTCTGTCGATGACGGTAAGACTAAAACATTACATAGATACTAGAAGCTTAGGAAGATATTTTGAAAAGTTAAATATAGAAAAGAATAGATGAATATAAATATGAAAGTGCAGCTGCAAATAAAAAATACTGTCTACACAAAAACTAACCAAATCTGTTTTTTAAATATACAAGGATCGGGTAAGAAATTGACGTGTTTATATCCCCGTCTACAACTTTTTGTTCTGTGTTTGTGTACAGCTACGGTTACAGTACAAGCGATAGCGATTTTAATAATATAAAATTCAGAGTTGTTTTTCATACTATGCTGATAACAATTTTACTATACTGTATATATGAATAAAAAGCTAAATTTTAAGAAATAAGGATTTTATTTCTGAAAGGTTTTTTTGTGGGTAACATCTTTCTCTCAATATCTGGAATAGATTTCTTGATAAGGGACGGAAATGAGTAACAGGAAGGCCGGGAAAACCGCGTTATTTTATTTGACCAATATTATTACTGGTGGATAAGATGTCAGACATTACACATCTTAGGCCACTACTGTTAAGGCTCGTTCGTTTTTTTTAAAGATGGGTGGTTTTAATCAAGTGTATTGTTACTGCGCGTACATTCCATTAATGGGCACAACGTAACTTATTTTGCTTAATATAAGATAATGCTAAGGACAACCTTACGAAAGCCTAAAAACTTTAGATTGCTAGCACAACTAACTAAAGTTTTTATACTATTTAGCAGATGAAGTGATAGATATCCAGAGCTCAGAGCAGAGCAGAGATCAGAGAGCATATTTAGAGGTCTCATGTTATTTTACGATCATTAGGTGTAAGGATCAGGTGTGAATTATGTTTTTGAAGTATATTGTACAATAACAATTAATTCAACGATTTTGTGTACATGCTCTATTGGAAAGCAGCTAACTTATCTCACAACTGAATAATGAAAATTATGACTACTTTTTAAAATGTAAAACTTATTCTCAATAACTTTTTTTGTGAAGAAATAATTTCATCCATGCCATAGTCAAACTAAAATTTTAGAAATCAACCAGAAAAAATTAAGAAAACAGTGTCTTATTTTTTTTCTGAATTTTAATAATCGCTATCGCTTTTATAATACACTAAACAAAAACAGACAAAGCATAAAAATGTGCAAGCAAATAAACTATCTAGAAACAGACAAACATAGATTGTGCTGACCTACTGATAGCCCGTCCGCGTAGTTTGCTATAAAAGAAATGTTTATATCTTCATATATTATAGCTTGACATGTAGCTTAAGGTTAAAGCTGTTAGAATAAAATCTTCATCATTGAAACTATTATATTATTAAATAATGGACGGATTCAAGCGATGTTTCATAAGAAATGTGTCTTTTTTATACACTTGTATTATATTTTAAAAAATAATTTTCTACAAGAAATCTAACAGTGAATTTATCCATTCGACATAATTTCCGTAAAATAAGGGTACTCTCGAATTAATTCAAGGCATGATCAGGGTCGCCACCTGTGACATGAACGGCTGATAAAAGCAATTCGATTAAACCATCGCGTAGTGTTGGGTCAATAAAAATATATCGTATATTACCGAATTGAATTCGGAATTATTTATGTAATGGGTACCATAATAGAAATAAATGACACATTATTTATGAAAAACCGCCCCATTCTTATACAAATAAACATCTATAACATTAGCATATATAGTGCTCCAATGAATAATCTACTGATGAAAAACATGTTTACCGATGACACATGCCAATTTTAACTAAACGAGCGAGGCAATATATTTTCATTCTTATTTATGATTGGTAAAGTTCAAAATGCAATGTCATGTATGTCTGTTGTGTTTACTAGAATTTTGTCAGATTTCTGTCATGGTCATGGTTATAGGGCCATAGAGTGTTGGAGAAAGACTAGGTTCAACTTGCAACTTCGCTCGGTTCTATTTCTTTTTTTAAGTTAAATAAAATTAGTGATTGTTGAAAATAAACATAATAAGAATATTGCACACGTACCATTTACAAATTTTCGACCACTAATATCCTACTAGGGTCAGAAATTTAAAAATAAATCATAGAAATACTCAATTTCGGATCATACACTTTTATCAATAATACTCAAAATATCATAAATATCTTTTCTATCGTTGTTTCAATAAAAATATCCGAGCAAAGCCACATATTACAAATAATCATTTAGAAATTACATTTTATTACTTTTGGTAATAGGTAATGTTAGATGTATACAGTATAGTTTAGAATAGCATAGTAACCTATAACAGGTTATACACATATTGGCCAATCAATGAACAAAGTGTACTAGGTGGAATTTTAACTGTTACATTAGAATGGTGTCATGTGTTGGGTAATAATAGTTTAAGCTGTTCTTACCAATTTGGTAGAAATTTTGTTGTATACCTTTTATTTCAACTTATCCTAGCCAAGCCTTTTGACTTTTTAAATTCATTAGAATAACTGTAGCTGGAAAACTTAAGCATTGGAAAGCAATATAATAACTTACTTGGCCGGTAGCTTATATAGGTATCCCTTGCCTTCAGTAGACCAAACCAGCACCCTGTCAGGAGCTAAAAAGTCCCCTGACATCCAGCGTTCGCCAGTAGGAGCTTGGATGGAGCAGAGAACGGAAAAATCACCTGCGGAGAAAATAAATAAAAAGCATATTAAGAATCTACCCTAAGATGGTATTGAGTCAACTCTATATATCTCGCACGTAAATGATGGTATTTAAGGAGCCGAAAAAGCGTTTCAGTCTTGTCTAAAGTAAACAGAATATCAATTTGCCTGTAAAACGAATATTTAACTTGCTAAAGGTATATTAATACATCAAACATCAAAGACCTGTCATTGTTTATTATTCCTACTAATACTATAAATGCGAAAGTAACTCTGTCTTTTACATTTTTACGGATAAATCGCTTTGATTCTTGAGGAAGTACAAAGGCTTTATACCGCGATAACCGAATACGCGCGGGCAAACCGCGGGCAATAGCTAGTTAAATATACATGAAATTTACCTGAAACCATTTTTCAAAACAGTACTTAAAAGTAAAGTATTAGGGTGGCTAACTGTAATTTTCGTGCTAAAACATTTTGTTTTTGGCAAACAATATTGTTACTTTACCTATCCACACTATTTTCATTCTACTAAATTGGTAAGGATGCACAAAGCTCAGTTGAATATAAGCTATTAATGATACACCCTACAAACACTTATACCGCCAGTATTTCCCCCTCCTATGCTCCTCGTGGGATTAAGATGACCTTACACACCACCAAAAATGCGTGTCAAGGTATTTCGTTTGACCCCAATATACGAAAATTAATTCAAAATCCTCATGTTGCTATCCACTAGAGTGTAACTATGCTGTAAATTGAAATAAATAGAACTTACCCGCATCGTATATCTGACAGTATTTAGCACACACAATTAACACCGTTCTTTGGTTATAAGCGCAACAGTTCAAGGACAGAGCGTTGAGACATCGGATCTGCTTGGATTCGTTCTCGTAAATAGGTTCTGATTGTTTGTTCTCATGTCCTAGGAGTGACCAAACCTGGGGAAATGTTAGTAGTAGGTGTTTAAGGCGTAAATCGGATCTTAATCACAGCGATCACATTTGACCGTCATTGGAGCGATCGTGGTCACGGGTAGACCTGATCGTGACCAAGATCGATTCAACCTCTATACGGATCCTATATATCTTATAAACATATTTAACCAGCTCTTGCGATGTAGTATACATAATATGTACTTAGTTTTAGTGACGGTTTAAACCTCGCTTTCTTTAACTATGTGACTTTTTTGCAAGACAAATAAATGAATAATTATTTTATTACTCTCATCGGTGATGTAATTAAAAGACGTATCTTATAAATACTGTCAAAAAATAAGTCCCGATCCCGTCCCGTCAAGAATTATAGTAGGTATTCTAAGTTACAGAGATGTACAGGCTGTTACAAAAAGATGTGTCATCTTTTAAGGTCGTATAAGCCACTCTGTGAAAAGCTAAACTGTAAATGTATTTATGAAACAAAAGCATTATAATTGACATAAATCGTACAACGTTTTTGCTGCAAAAAATCCCAGTTCTTTTTTAATTTAACTTCACAATTGTTAAAAATACATATCGTTTCCGTTTTCGTGATCTTATAAATACCTTCTACAACAGTTTTTTTTTGTAAAATAGTAATCTTCGAAGCTTACCTTGACAGTTCCAGTGATCGAGATGGCGAGAACCACATCGTCCTTCCTGGATGACGGACGCAAAACCTGTAATAAAACATACAATAAATAACTTCATACTAATTGAGACTAGTACGAATGGCGGCCTTATCGCTCAGAGATAATCTCTTACAGGCAAACGTGGGACGGCGAGAAAACATGATACTGAAAAGGTATAGGATAGTGTCTGGTGTATTAAGAATTAGTTAAGAGGAAATCAAAGTGGTATATGTATATTTATGAAGTGATAGCTACACATAGTATAGATCTTTTTCAGGTTTGGGCCTACTATACCACGCTGGCCAGACGGGTTGGTATAGGGCTTGTGTCAAGTTTTCCTTCTCTCTGCAGTGCTGTTATTCTGCGTATAGATATATATATCTCCCTTGGTCGGCTCTTACGACACCCACGGGATGAATAGGGGTGGTAACAATCTGTATTCCTAATCCGTCACCACACGGACCGCTGTATTAAATACATACAAATAAATAAGTGAAGTGAAATAAAAATTAAATAATAACAAAAAGGTAAATTAAACCAAATGAAGCAGGTACTACAAGGGGTGGCTAATACTATGTCAAGATCAGATCTGAATTATTTTTATTACCGTGTTTATATCCCATAAATTGATTTACGCACTTGTTAGTACAACATAGCGTAACCTTTACTCGACCCGACTACTATTTTGAAGGGCCTATTGGCTTAGTGGTTAGTAACTCTGGGTGGGTTTGGTTCCCAGCCAGGACAAATAATTGTGTGATAAGCACGATCGTTTGTCCTTTGTCTGGATGTAATTTATCCATAGTATTTTTATACGCAGTTTGATTACCACAGCTACAGTGTGTTAAGTTATTTTATTAAATTATCAATACTTGTTATTAGACAACATTAGTTTATTTATTAATTGATCAGTGGCTTATAACAAGGTAAAATAATTTGGATGTCCCTTGTAAACACCATTTTTTCTTGAAGAGACTTTCTTCAAGAAAAAATGGTATATACTTATACCATATACTTCTTAGTCCTTTTAGTACCTCTGACGACGTCAATGACGAAATAAAATCAAATTCCTGTCATAAACATCGATCTTTTTTCAAACTTAATTAAAAAATCTGCACTTACATGAAGAGCTGAAATCCAATCCGGATTCATCTTAGAGCTCAGAGAGAACAGTATCTCTAGCGAGAATGGATCCATAATCAAAATCTCTGCATAGTATCCATTGCAGAACAGGCGTAGATCTTCACTATTGCACATGTGGTAAGCCTATAAAATAAAAGAGGAACATAGGAATATCATCAAGGGCTTTTAGCAGTCCACTGCTGGACATATGCCTCTCCTTAAAAAGAAGGTTTTGGCCTACTATACCACGCTAGCCAGACGGGGTGGTATAGGGTTTGTTTCAAGTTTTCCTACTTAGTAGTGCTATTGTTCGGCGTAGTTTGCTTTAGTTTGTATTTTATTTTAGTTTAATTTCCACTTTAACACCCATGGGATAAATAGAGGTGGTAATATTGATTAGACATTACTAGTGTGGCGACATATACAGACAATGAAATGAAAAAAGAGCCGTAGATTGTTGATGAACAGGTGAAATTTAACCGTTGGTCAGCACTCCAGCCTAACTGCATTTCTCCACACTATTATTCTCATTAATACCTATAACAGCAGACAAAAACCTCGAAATAAGGCATTAAAGAGTATGTTAGGAAATGTTTATTTGTTTTATGATGTACAGACAAGTCATCAGATGGAAAGTGACTGACTGAAAGCCCTTGAGGTAGGAGTACGCTTTTTTCCTCAAGGTTTGAAGGTCGTATCGGTACGGGAATACCGAAGGCGATAATTTGTTCGTACGGTTGTGTTTTTTTTTCATATACTAAATATCAATATGGTCATGTGTGTGACCATTGGATATTATTATTTACAAGCTTTCGGGCGCACACTAACCTGTATATTTGTATGAACTTGCAACAGCTTGACGCTCTCCCGACACTTCCCGTCCACCAGGTCCCAAGTGCACATCTCACCAGCTTCAGATGAACTCACAATAAAGTTATTGTCCTGAAACATTATGAGAACACGTATATCTATATATTAATACGTTAGGAAAATTCTTTGTGGGGTTCACACATCATGCTGCCCATAAGAGTAACGTTTTTTTTAATAAAGACGTATAGAGGGCCTAGTGTGAGTTTATTTCACATCCACTCAACACTAGAACCCCAGAACTCTTAAAGTTATGAATTTCAAAAAGGCTAATCAAGATGCAACATACCTGTATGATCGAAGCCCGGGATAAGCATGTTACCGGAGCGGTATGTCCAACCAACAAGCACCTTGGAGTCATCTTCAGGCTCTCAGGATCCACCTGCCATATACAAATCTGGCCATCATAGCACCCGGTGACCAATGTCTTCTGATCACGGGAGAGGTACACCGAGGATACACAATGTGTTGGTGCATGCTTGCCCCAGAGGACAACTGGGACTATGAGATTTGTGCCAGGCATGGCGGGCTGTGGAAGAAAATAAGTTAATGAAGAATATCTATTGGTTATGGCAACAAGTTAACATTTGATATATCTATTTGGGACTGCAAGAGTGGTGCAATGTTTAAAGTGGTCGGTGTATACCGCGCCAAGTGGGTTTGATTCCTACACGTTTTAGTTGGTTAAAAACTGGATAACAACTTTTTTGTCTTTGAAATCAACTAGAAATGTTTCCTATGTCGTGGAGATTTTACAACTATGTGAAACAACCTTCAAAGGAATCCTCAAATTCGGAATAAAAATACTCCGATACGAAAAAATATTGTAATATGCTCCTTGTTTTTTTTTATGGAAGAGGGGGCAGACGGATCACCTAATAGAAAGTGACTACCACCGCCCATGAACGACTGTACCTGAGGAGTTTTCCTTTTGTTCTTCTGTGAGGTTGTAATAAAAAAAAGCCAGACAAGTGCGAGTCGGAGTCGCGCCCCGAGGGTTCTGTACAAATTTGTAGGTACATAGGTATTGTAAATAGTTCAGGAATCGAGTCTCGCAATTTTTTCCTAGCTTTTTGAGCAATTCAATTTCCAAAACCTATAAGTAACTTATTTAAGACTATACTTTTTAAGATTTAATTACATATGTACAGTTTACAGATTTTTCCCTGTACTTGTAGTATAAAACGATATTACTTGCTAAATTTCATAGTTGTAGATCACAGGGAAGTACCCTATTAATTTTGATTACCTTGAGAGTGACAAAATATGCGTTTTTTGTTGTGTATCTTCTTTTTTGCGTTTACTTAGAGATTTGATTTTTTCACAGCTTCAGGGGACTGTAGAGTACATGTAATTGCCAAATGTATCTCGCCTTATTATGAGGTGTTAGAACTAGATAGTGAAAATTTTCGTGCTATGATTTATTACGATTTTCGCCGAGGGCTAACTCAAAACCATTGCATTGATCAACTCACTTCGACTTTTAGGGACGAAGCACCATCAAAAACAACTGTTCATCGCTGGTTTAGTGAGTTTAATCGGCGGTCGGGCGGTCTGTGCTCACAGACGAATGTAAAGAAGGTCACCCTAAATCGGTTGTTGTACCTCAAAATATTGATGCTGTGCGGGAACTAATGATGCAAGATCGTCATGTTACATATCGCGAGATAGAGGCGTCTCTGGGAATAAGTATGACGAGTATATATAAAATATTACGAGAACATTTAACTGTAAAAAAATTTGATCACGTTGGATTCCGTAGAACTTGATAATTGACCAAAAACGGTGTCGATTGGTTTAAAAAATGTTACAAAAGTATAATTAGGGTGCGTTAAAAGCTGTCTTCAATCACACAGGAATCTTGGATATAGCGTATGATTCTGAAACTAAACAACAATCAACGGTCTGGGTGTTCAAAGATGAGCCGAACCCAACAAAAGTCATTTGTTCAAAAGGCACTTTGAAGCAAATGGTAGCTTGTTTTTTTTTTTATAAATGGACATGTGGCTACAGTGCCACTAGAGAATCGTAAAAAGGTTAATTCTGAATGGTACACGACCATTTGTTTGCCAGAAGTCTTTGAAGATATAAGAAAGAATAACCGACAACGCAGAATCCTTCTTCATCATGACAATGCCAGCTGCCATACATCATGAGTGTCGGTTATCGCGGTAAAAAATAGCATGTCTTTCCTTAAGAATCAAAGTACCTTTATACCAAATTTCATCTAACCGGTTCAGCGGTTATTGATTCCCCATACAAACTTCCACCCCCTTAAAGGATGATTTCTGGGATAAAAACTACCCTATGTCCTTTCCCGGGTCTCGGACGATCTCTGTACCAAACTTCATCTAAATCGGTTCAGCGGTTATTGATTCCCCATACAAACTTCCGCCCCCTTAAAGGATGATTTCTGGGATAAAAACTACCCTATGTCCTTTCCCGGGTCTCGGACGATCTCTGTACCTAACTTCATCTAAATCGGTTCAGCGGTTTAAGCGCGAAGAGGTAACAGACAGACAGACAGAAAGACAGACCGACACACTTTCGCATTTATAATATTAGTATACAATAGGATACAAAAAAACTTAGATGTCTATCCGGTGACAAAAATCTCTTTAGGCAGATTTCAAACTGATGTCACTTTACGAGCGCTATCTAGGGATTAATAAAGAAGAAGGACGTAGTGTAGGACGCCCACAGGCCAGGTGGAGTGACGATTTGCGCAAGATGGCTGGCAGGAGCTGGATGCGAGAAGCCCAAAATCGATCTAAGTGGCGTGCAATGGGAGAGGCCTATGTCCAGCAGTGGACTGCGATAGGCTGATGATGAATTATTATTATTATTCATTCATTCAATTCTCAACTATACAGTGTCGAAACATAGCTGGGCTGTTTTTCTTTAACGTATCAGTTCGTATTTGTCTCTGTTCATCTTTAGCCAGAATCCCGGTCAATCTCAACAAGACAACGTACTTTGGGTCCGCACAGACCTGTTTAAATATGGGTCGTCGCTTACTGACATTATGGCACAGCACGGCACGGCAGAGCGTTCTGCCAGCGTGTGAAGCGTCGTTTTGGCTCTCTGAGATTGGTTCGTTCTCGCTACAGGCGTTGGCTGTTTGTGAATCAGACAGGTGATCTCCAAAGCATCCTTTGCTTCAGCCGTTATCAGATGATCCCGTCTTTCCTCTCAAGCCAATCCTCCATAACGGATCTTACCACCGCAATCACGGCGTGCAAGGATTAAGCCGCCCCATATATTCCCGAACGTAAAACTATCGCGCGATATGGGATATTTGAGAGCCCCGAGATCCCGTTCTCAGTGATTCAAATTATACATGATAGCGCTGCCTTAGTGGTGTAGTACGGTATGCGACTGCACTCCATGAGGCCTCTGGTTCGATTCCCAGACCAGGCAAAATTTTATAGGGTTTTTCTGACAGGAAAGATAGAATAAGTTACTCCTTATATAGACAGCTACCTGGTAATAAAATATTATCAAAATCAGTCCAGCCGTTTTGGAGATTACCCAGAAGAAACAGACAGACAAACAAAAAATATTGAAACTGGTTTTTAGGCATAGGCATAGTGCAAACAAGCATGAAAAACCCTATTCTTTGACATTACAAACAGACACTTCAATTTTATTTATATGTGCTTGTATAGAGAATAGTCAATCTTTTAAGGAATAATACTCAAAATTTTAACATTAATTCATGTTTGCAGTATCATTGCTTAGTTTCTACCTATTAATTAAGTTAATTTTGAAACATTTGACCAATCAAACTCAAAAACTTCAAAGAAGATATTTTGATGACATGTAGGCATAGCAGTTTAATCAGTCACCTCACAGCTTCCTACTGCGCTGAGTGTTGTGGGTTCGATTCCCCAATGGGATAACACTTTGGGTGATTCACAAATTGTTGTTCTGATTTTAGATGGTTTTTTTCATGTATATTTGTGAAGTCCTACAACACAGGATATATTTCTAGAGTAAGAGACATCTTTTTAAAAGAAAATAAAAAAGTAGTAGTTGTCAGTTTCCATCAGGTGATCCGTCTGCTCCTCTGTCCCCTCTTCCATAAAAAAAAGTAAGAATTTGTTAAGCTAACTAGAAGTTTACAGCCTTCCTTTCTCTACCCTTAAAAGTATTAATTTGATTATCAGTAATGTTACAACTTAAAATATTACATAATAGACATTTTTTTTTCTTAAAACATATATAAACTTAATATAAACTAACTTATATATAAACTTTAAGTTTGCACATATTCAAGTACTGGTAAGATACCTATGTTTATGAATGGGGGTAAAAATTATTGTTATTAGAAATTTTCACCACTTGGTTTGACTTTTAAAATACTGTTATTCTACATTTTTTTATAGCAATGCCTCTTCTGCGCCGTTACATAACTCTTAGAAAATATCTATTGACAAAATGTGGCTGTCGACAGCTCACCTCGAAAAAGGATGAGGAAAGGAATTGTAAACATCCAATAATAAGTATGTTTTTTCACAATTTTAATCATGACTCCTATTGGCAATTTCCAAAGTAAACTTTGACAATACAGTCTTGATTAGGTAACTTCTTGAATAGCATACCATCCTACCTTAAATATATTTTGCTAAAACAACAATAATGATAACAATATAATTTTCTATCATCTACCTAACACCAAGGACGACACTAATTATCGAATTTTCTTACCTATTGACATCAACTGACGGAGAAAGAAGGTTGTAATACCTGCTACACTGCTAAACAAACATAGATATTACCAACAATTACACAAAAATTAAGTAATTACTGCAGAAATTAATAAAAACACTGCAATTGCAGCAAAATCAATCCACCTTGCTGTCACTTGCAGTGACAGCAATGACAATTGACAGTAGATTTGATATTATCATTATCAAAAATAAATTGATAATTACTATAACTATACGCTACCTGTAGTCTTATCATACTTTCATCATATCGTATCCCCAAAAATATAAAACATTGTATATCCACTATAATTAAAGGAACTAACAGGTATTTTGCTTAGGTCAGTGTGTCGGTCTTATAACTATTACTACATGTAACGATTATATTTACAAAGTGAACACCTTGGCTCTTATTTTATCATCCTTTTATCAGAACTCTATTATTAAAAACCTTAGGTTCCATGTGAATCTAATGTATTTAATATCGACAGTATCAGCATCTAGAAACTTTGCCTCACACAACCAATGTGTGCCCTACACATAATTTTCAAAACTGATACGACCTCTTAACCCACGCGATCCTACATCCAGAACAATACGACCTTCCTCTTATCATACTGCCACATTATAGGCTAGGTATGCACTCTTGATTTATACGTGTCCATGGGCGGTTCATTTACCATCGGGTATCCTTTGTGCTCGTTTAACACCCATACAAATAAAAAAACTTTTAGCCTTCATTTACGCACGAACGGTATCCAATGCTCATAAAATGAAACAATCTTTAAATTCAAAATCGTAACAACGGATTATTTTCAGGCAGAGAGCAGGTTAATACGGAATTAATTTCCTCAAAGATTAATCATTCAGGCAGACAAATCCAGTCAATAAATATGACTGAGGATACATTTTCATCAAGTTCCATTTAAAAAAGTTATAAATAAGTCGATTCAGTTCTGCATATTCTACATAACCTTATTATATTATCTTTTGAAAATGGAACAATAATAACAAAACTTGACAGATTACTTTTATCGTTCAGTGAGGTAAAGACAATTTTGATTATTTTAAATGCATTTATTGTCTTCAAAACTATGAATAAAGCAAAGGGTTCAATGCAAAAACTACGTTCCAAGGCCAATGTTAAGGAAGAAAAACTACAAGAACTGGCAAACAAAATTGATGAGACTGATGAAATGAAATTAAAGATGTTGGCTGCCATTGAAAACCCGGATCCTGATGATCTTCTTTATCCACCTGAACTGAATGCTCACTTGATTGAGCAGTTAAAAGTAAGCTATTAAAATAAAGCAGAAAATACCATACTGTAAATTGACATTTAGCTTTGTAATCAGCAGTATTCTGGTTTTAATTTAGAGTAGACAATAATAAAAAGAGGCTCCTTGCTTTTAAAAGTTTCATGTATGGAAACAATGATTACCAGTTCACTGCTCTCACATAAATATTTATATGGGATAAATACATAGAAACAATACCTACAGTCTTGCCTCGATTAGTTCTAGATAAGTGTGGAATTTTTATTTCGCATTAGTTTGGTGGATTAGTTTGATATTAGGAAAATTGTTTCATCGTTTAAGGACTAAACGATGAAACAATTTTTCTTACTGCTTATTAATTTTATCCAACTCTAGTAGTACAATATCTATTTGGTTTTTATTGCACTTCTATTTCAACAACTGAATCCTTTTACAGATAATGACATCTGACAACAATGAACTTCGCAAATGTGTTTTTACAAAAGACCAAAATATAAAAGAGTTGAACAAAACCGTAACTGACTTAAACCAACGAATTCGTGACATAATTTCAGGCACGGGACCTGCAATATCTTCTAAATCTGCTGGCATAATCAGTGCAAAAATAACTGATCTTTGCAAACAAAATAGGCATTTGGTAGCTGAAATAGAGAGCTACAAAACTAAAAACGCAGCCCTAGAACGTAAAGTTATACAGCTGGATCTCATAAATAAAGAACATGAGCAATTAGATATATGTGCTTGCAAAGAAGAGAATTTTGATGCAAGTCCCGATGAACTGAAGGAATTAAATAATAAACTTGCCTCGGTCAATAAGAAACTTTATGAAAGCAAAAATAGGAATTTAGAACTTAAAAACGATATTTTGATAGCAACAAAAATTCTCCAGCAAGAGCTGGGTGATAAGTTTACTAGCATCAAAGAGTTGCAAAACGATGTTGCTGGATGGAAAGGTAGAGCACAACAGATTATGCTGTTGCAAGCTAAAGTTGCGGATCTCGAAGAAAAGTTGAATGTGAAGCAAAAATCAGATACCCCATTGGATAGTAAGAAGAAGGACCAGAGCCAGGTATTAATTTATATATTCTTTGTATTGTTGCATTGAAAATATTTTATGAGGAGATCCTGCAAAACAGTTCTATTATATGTCCAACAGTTCTATTTTTTATCAGCATAAGATGCACTCTACCTTGTAGTTTTATGTTATGTTATATAGTATTAAATCAGTTAGTCAGTTTTGTACATTACTGTTTTAAAGTTAATATTATTAATCCTATTCATTCTAAGTTGTCCAGACATTTTCTGAAACGCTTTCATTTCGGATAACTTCGAGTTTGTTCTCCATGAATTCACCGGTCAAAAGTATCAAGTATACTGCTCTCTAAAAAATATCAATTCACTTACGTACTGTGTGATATATTTACTAGTTCATTCGAGAAATTGAGCAAAAAAGGAAGAAAGAAGTTGAGTCAGCCATGAAGGAAATGGAATCACTGAAAGAAGATAATCAAGATTTGAAGAGAAAATTAGAGGGTGCTCGGTGCAGAATACGAAATTTGGAATGCGATACTACCACTATCAGACAAAAGATGCAAACCTTATTGGAAAAAAGCAATCATGATGACATGCTGATAAATGAGCAAAGAGTTAGTGCGTTTATATTTTTAAGTATTGCCGAAATTATAAGTCATCTCAAAATTAACTACAATCAACTATCATTTTTAAAAATTTCATTCTCATTAGATTATAATAATTTCAAGCTCAATTTACTTGAGTATTCGATGTGTGAAACTAACATTTCAAATCAAATTTGTATGGTCACCGATTTAAGTCACTTAGGCTAAAAGTTTTTACGTCGCTTTGAGAGAATTTATATTAATTTCAAAAGTGACGACTTTGACGAACATTACTCGACTTTTTTGCTCAAGGAAATAAATAAAATTAATCAATACACACTATTGACCTCTAATACTAATTTAATTTATTTGCTTGAGATTATATAAGTAAGGTTACCAATATGTTTAACTACGTGCTGTTCTTGCAGGCTCAAATCAAAACTTCTGAGCTTTATTATCAAGAGATACTTAAAGAAAATACAGCTAAAATGAACAAAATGAATGCTGAAATTACGGAATCACAAAAAGAAATTAAAAACACTGACGCCAAAATTGATGCATTAAGGAAGCAGGCAACAGAAAAGGCTGCTAAGATTGAAGAACTTAGAGCTCAGCTGCTGAGATACGAGGAATGTTCACTGCAAAGTATTTTCTTTACTCCAATGAAAACTGCGACCGATAATGAAATTCAAAAGTTATCTGAACTTGTTACGACTTTGAACACTAGAATAGATGAAGAAAGACATAAATGGGAAGAGTTGGAAGCCAAACACAGAAAAGTAAAAGAAAAGAAGAGGCGTTTAGAACGTAAGGTTGCTAGTTTAGAGGAAGAAATGAAGCCACTAAAAGAAACATTAAGAAGAGGATCTAGAACTTCGAAGGTTTCTGTTATAAAAGAACAACCTTATGAAGGGTATGGTGCTTCATCTGTAACAAAAAAAGCATCCTCCGTGGTTGCTATAGAAAAACCCAGTGAAAGTTCTTCAGAATCCCAACCAAGCGATGGTGCTGAGTCTTTAGATAAAGACGATTTGAAATATAAGCTGGAGTTAACTGAAGAAAAATTAAAAATAATGGAAGACAAACTGAAGATGATTGAGGAAGAAAAGCAAGATGATTATAATCATCTAACAGACATGATACAGACGTCAAAACAATTATTTAATGAGGCGTTGATGGTATTACAAAGAGAAAAATGTCTTTGTTCGTAGTTATTTTTTAAAGTACTTACATTTATTTATTTACTTTAATTAAATAATTTTGATTAAAATGCATTATATTAATAAACTTACTATAAAAAGTCATCATCTTCCAAATCAACATAACAGTGCTCTATTATATACAACTTTTGCTTCTATTTATATATCTGCCTCAGTTTTTTTGACTTGTTGGTTGTCTTTTAAAGAAATAATAATTTTCTTACAAACTTGCATTTGTGAGAAGGATTTCCTTATACTAGATAGTTTTTTTTGTTAAGCAATGGTATTTGTATTTACTTTAACATTTAAAATCATCTTTAACTTCCTAAGAACCAAATGTGTAAAACGCGTTAATAAAACTAAGGTAAAAAACCTCAAACCGGTAAAAATTTATAATTGTGATTAATTAATAAAGTAATGAACGATCTGATTGAAAATCTGGTCAAACTACATGTAAAATAATTGACATGAAGGCTACAACAATTAAAAAAAATTTAGGTTTAAATATAATGTTCAGAAAAATGATTCTCAACTGGCATTTAGTAGAAATTTTTTATAACGTTGGCCACCCAAACCGCCGCCATTTGTCATTTTTTTGGCATGCGCGTTTGGGGATGCTACGAAAATCGTGCTCTTGAGTGTTTTGTTATAAAACCCGAATTTTAAACTTCGTTAGTGAACTGTGAAAACTCGTGTTGCTCTGTGAAATATCAGTGCTTTTATATTTTTATTGTGTTTTGTGTTAAAAACATTCAAGATGAATAAAACTTGCGCAAGGTGTGAGAAAACAGTTTATCCGACTGAGGAATTGAAATGTTTGGACAAGGTAATTTTCACTTGCATTCCATTTGAAACCTATCATAAACTACCCGCCTACTTATTGCACGCTTTCGCAAATATTGCGTTATTAAAAGAGATATGTTAGTAATTGCTTGTAGTTTCCGATGTACGTACTCAATTTATACGAACCAACTTTTTTTCGTAACTATTGTCGTGTGCCGGGCACATCAATTCATACAGCCGGACGCGTGACTCATTAAATTATATAAATTGCTGCTGATATCATTGTGGGCTCTTTATAATACCGTATCAGTACTTGCATCGACCTTTTTACCTAATTAGAGTCGTCTTAGGCAAGATGCGACCTTGTCACATTATGTATTGATTGATTGTATTCAAATGATATCGCTATTGTCCTGGCCGAATGGAGTTTTTACTTTAGTCAATTATGAATAAGATGAGATAATATTGGTATCCATTTTGCAGTATATTGTTTGCATTTTTATTTCTTTATATTATATGCACTCGGAATGATATGATATGATTGTTTGCGTAATATATTATCTGTGTGATAAGAGTAAAATTATATGCACACTATGTAGATAAGAAAACAGTAGTTTGGAATGTCAAAGTGCTAGCATGTTTTATAGTTTATGGTAAACTGTTATGATTTATGGCACATATCATTGAAAAAATATTTAGGTAAAAACAAACAAATGTGTACTTGTAAAACATAATTTAGAGGCATTATTTTATTCAATAATTCTAATATTAAATACAAAAAATATTGATCTGTCATTCTTGGGTATATTTTCCAATTAAGGTGTTAGTTAGTGTGTTGTTAGTCTGGTATTTTTTTCTACACTATCCCTATTAACTTTTTATAAAATTAAAATACTATGACTAAATAGGAGGATGAGGATTTATCTTTGTGGCCAAACCATAAAATGGAAAAAAAGGCAGTTTTGTTTGTTTTTTTTTTTTTTAAATCTTATAGCTATTCCATATTTGCATTCTGCTTGTAAAAAAATGTACTTATAAACATCCTTCTTAACTTGTCATCAACAAATACCACAGTTGAATAGTTGGGTATTATGCGAATGAAACAATAAATATTTTTGTGAACAGTGAAAGACAGCATTGGTGAATAATTAACACGGTTGTTTTTTTATTTGCATAGTTTTAATTTTTTTTGTCTTAGAGCTTGTATTTAAATATATACCAATAATTGTAAAAACATTTTTTTAAATATTTTCTCCTTAGAAAAGAGGTAGAGAGAAGGATGCCTACTATAGCACGCTGGCCAGACTGGTTGGTATTAGTGATGTTTTATGTTTTATGACTAAAATGTTACTAATATGCACTTCAGAGGTTTTCAGTAAATTTAAAATAACCCTGAATAATGGTTATTAGGTAGCTATGAAAAACTATTGAATTCTGTTCAGATTACTTTTTATTTCTTAAAACAAATATTTGGCACCTTTATTTTGCAATCATTTATCGTACTACACTAAATCAACTAGGCAGGTCGTAGGTACTGAAAGAGCTATCTTTATAATGAGATCAATCAAACATCTTTGTATTAGCTTATTAAAATAATGAAATATTTAAATATCAACGGCAAAGCGTCAAGTGGCGACAACTATCCAGGTCACCGGCTCCGATTGAGTAAGAAACTTAAGATCCGTATCCGCGGATCTTGACACCAAATATCCGTATTTGGATCCGTATCGGCGGATATACTTTGTTAACGATCCGGCACATCACTAGTTGGTATAGGTTTTGTTTTAGGTTTTCCTTGTCTTTGCAGTGCTATTGTCTTGCATAGTTTGCTTCCTTAGTCGGCTATAAAGTGAGTAAGCTTGCTGAAGGTCCAAACTCTCTATTCTCTGACTTTTGAAGGGGGTGGGGAAGGTTCACTCATTGCAAGTTTTCATGAACAGCAGTTGACCTATCTGCTTGTTTGCCCTATAAAAGTACCAAAAATAACCTTATGGTACTTTTTAATATTGTGATCAAACATAATAGTATTGAAATAAGTCACTCGTACTGTTCCACAATATTTATTACTTTAAACTTGACCGGTTTCACCTCATGCCATTTTCAAAGGGCATCATGATAACAACTGGTCATTAGATTATTTAACAGCAGATCAAAATGATGTACAAAACCAGTTTCCAAATATTACCCCAAAATTTGAGAGAGAAACTAATTTTATTATTATTATTAGGGTATTATGGACGAGCAGCAAACTTGCTGATGTGTCCACATCACTGCACTGGAGTAAGTTTGTGATGTAAGAGTTCCCGTGTACATGATTAAACGGTTGTTTAGTCCAATGGGTTGTGCTTTTCTAACCATATATCTAGTTGGCACTTAAAACTGTTCACTGACTTTACGGTCACAACATTTTCCGGAAGCTTGTTCCATATCGCAACAACACGATTGTTCAAAGTGTGATAGGCTACCAGCGACTGTGAGTGTGAGCGATCTATTGCGAAGCTGTGTCCCCGTGATGAGTACGCCTTGCGCTGGAGGAGGAACATATCCTTGATATTTGGAAGATTATATCTTGAGCTTAGTATTTTATAGGTTTCAATAAGATCGCCTCTCATCCTGCGATGTTTTAATGTCGGTAATTTTAACACTTTTAAGCGTTCCTCGTAAGTCTTATGTCGCAGTCCATACGGTATCCTAGTTGCTCGCCTTTGCACACTTTCCAGCAGGTCAACGTCCTTTACAAGGTAGGGATTCCAAATTTGAAAACCGTATTCTAACAGAGGCCTGACATAAGTTTTATAAATTTTGGTGAAAACTGAAGGTGTCATGTGTTGGAATGCACGTCGTATAGCATATAGGAAGGAATTTGCCTTTTTAACTATAATATTGATGTGGTCAGCCCATTTTAAGTTGCTGGTTATCATTACTCCAAGATCTTTTTGCGACTTGACAGATGCAACTATTGTGTCACCTATTGTGTATGGTACTTCAGGGTTGTTCTTACCCAGACGCAATACTGTACATTTGGATGCATTGAGCTTCGCAATCCACTCTTTGGTCCACTCTTGTAAATTGTCCAGATCTGATTGCAGTTGTCCTGACCGAATGACAGGATCACCAAAGAACTTTCCATCATCAGCGAAAAAGCATGACTCACACTCTATTAATGCTATTAAATCTGCAGTGAAAATGTTGAACAGGATAGGAGAGAGAACCGAGCCCTGGGGGACACCACTCAGGACCTTCATTGTCTCAGATAATGTGTCACCGACTCTGACTTGGTATGTTCTATTTGCAAGGTAGTTTTCAAGCCATTTTAGGAGATTTCCACGCATACCAAAGTGCTCAAGTTTCAACAATAGTCGATTGTGAGGAACCTTATCAAAAGCACGTTCGAAATCCAAGTAAATGACGTCCATACTTCTTTTTTGATCAAGTTCCCTTGACCACGTGTTAACACATGTTAGTAGATTAGTTACCGTGGATCTCCCCTCAACAAAGCCATGTTGTTTCACAGAAATAATGTTCTGTCTGTTGAGGAATGACCTGATATGGTTTGATATGATCTTCTCCATACATTTACCTATAGCACTTGTGAGGCTTATAGGCCTAAACTTAGCCGGGTCAGTCTTATCACCGTTTTTGTATACAGGTGTCACTATGGCATGTTTCCAATCCCTGGGTAATCTATTATTTGTAAAGGAGGTTCTCATTATTTCTGCCAATACAGGAGCAATCAGGTCTGCACTGTTTCTTAGTACTATATTTGGTATACTGTCTGGTCCTGGTGATGAGTTTACCTTAAGGTTCTTTAGTACTTTTGCAATTTTCATTCAGTAATTTTCAATCAAATCATGTTTGACTCAGAAATGTCAAGACCGTAAAAGACCGTTCTTGAGTCTAAATGCGGAAACTGGAGCCCACAATCAATCAATATGAATATCAAGAGGAAAAAGACATGTGTAACTTAAAATTTCCACAGTTTTAACACAAATCATGGTTATTCTATGAAATTATTGTTCAAAATATGATGTAAGATTCATATTTCAGTTACCTAAATGAATTTTATCCTTAAAACCCTAGTACTTATGCCTAATGATATTAAATACTGTCGTCTACACCACATCTGGTGACGGCGACACCCTACTGTTCTGCTTAGACTCTGTTTTTGTAATAATGATATATATGTGGCATAATTATAACAATATAGGAATTTTTTTGGTTATACTATTAGGTATGAGGGACATAAGCAGCTACATTTGTGTCACAACTCAATGTTTGTGTTTACAAATTGTTTTTAATATCAAACAATCTATGATTTTAAGTTTTACATGCAATTCCAACGTTTGTTAAAGTTAGAATCCAGTCCACAGCAGATTCCTGTTCTAATTGGCTAAGGAGGTACTCCTAGTAGGAGGCAGTATGTCTTCTACAAAGGTGTCTGCCTACTATGTAGTTTTAACAGCCTCACAGTTTACACTGCCTACTACTGTAACTCAAGTATACCAGGTTCAACAGCAGTGACCGACAAACACACTGACACTACTGAGTACTGACACTTGGGAAGTCCCAGGAAAAGTTAGGAACTGTCTAGGAACGTGCTACACTATCAGAAGTAAATTGGAGGAGTTGCAAATGTAATAAAAATATTGTGACAGTATGAACTGCTTGAGCTATTGCTAATACCCTCCTTAATCTGTAAAACATCTAAATATGTCTGTGTGGTGATGGATTAAGAATACGGAGTTTCTGCCACCCCTATTCATCCCTTGGGTGTCGTAAGAGCGGACTAAGGAAGCAAACTACGCAAGACAACAGCACTGTAAAGAGAATTCCTTTTCTTTGAAACAAACCATTGTTGGTCAATATTCCTTTCCCTACCTTGCATTCCTTCTCAACCTACTTTTTCTTTCTAACTTTAGTGTCCTACTAACAGCAATAAGCTTGCCCTGTATTATATCCCTAATTAGTACATAAATACAGTCTAAAATGAATGAAGTCTGTATGTTTTGGTCAAAACCTTTGCAACATTTGTTAATTTTTCAT